TCAGGCCTCCTGTGCACAGGGGTTGCAAATGGTGTATTTCTATAGCACGACATGTAACAACATCTCTAAGGGCATACGCCACGTCCAGGTGGGCAGGAAAAAAGCCTGTGCTGGAGCTGACCCCCAAGCACTCGGTGGGTTGCAAGGGGGCCCCGTGCAAGAGGCTTCAGCAGGATCCTCGCACACTTTCCCAAGAGACCGAAGGGGCAGGGGACCTAGGAGAGCAGGTCTCTTTTGCTCTTTTTGGCGAAGAAATGGAAACAGCCTGGGAATAAACAGGAATGGAGTTTCGTGCAGAAGGAGTAAACTCTGTTCAGTGCTAGTATGCAAAACTCAACAGGTTCGCCCATCAGCCAACCTGCTGCATGCAGGAAATAAACGGGGCAGCAGCACTCTCCTACCCGTGTTCCCCAGCCACTGGTGCATTGCTGCAGAAATAGACGCATTCTGATTGTAGCTTGTAGAAGCAGAGCATGGAATTAAATTCTTGGCATGCAGTGGGCAGAGCTGGGCCCAGCTCCCCGGTAAGAGCTGCGGAGTCAAGGCAAGGCCCCTTGGGTCGAGGGGTGCCTGGATCCCCTCCTCCCGAGGAACGGCCTTTGCACTCCCGGCCAGAAGTGCCAGCGCCGCGGGCTCCCCACTGTCTGCAAGGAGGAATTAGGGCTCACGGGAACAGCGGGTGGCAGTTCACGGCCTTGGCCACAGGAGGGCGCCCGAGACACCCCGGCGAGGCCTGAAGCGCCGAGCGCGATGAGGAGGCTGCAACTGCCGCGCCTGGCGGACCCCCCAAAAGCAGCGCCGGTCCGTTAACGGGCTCCCGAGAGCGGCGCCTGCAATGCACAGGAGTGGCCACACGAGGGCAGCCGACTCTCCACTGGCACCGTGGCCGGGCTGCACTTCACGGCAATGGCCACACGAGGGCGCCCGCGTCACAGCGCCGACTCCTACAGCGGCCGCACGGAATTGGCCCGCGCGGGCCACCGTACTTTCTGCCACACGCGGCGGATGGGCCATACCGCTTCCCCGCACGAGCCCCCCCCCC